AGTAAAGGGCCAAGGACAGTTCCCTGTGGAACACCCGAGTCCACTGAAACACAATCGGAGTGTTACCCTTCCACGACCACTTGTTGTGATCGATGACAGAGAAATTCCTGGATCCATTTGAATATGTCGTTTCTGATGCCATAGTCACGTTAGAGAGTAGGCGACTCCCTAGACTAGCATTATATTACATTTATGTAATACAACATGAACAGCGCATACGCAACAACTGCTCGGACGAATAGCGCATACGAACAGGTGTCCGATGCTCGGACGAATATCCACGTCCTATTTATATTTGTTACGGTACTGTTACTGTTAGTAGAGAGTTATTTCATGAAACTATTTCAACTAATCCTGATATCTCCCGACACCCAAAGCTCTTCCAAAAATACGACTATTATACGTCATGCCACGACCACTGCCAGATGGGGTAGTTAAACGAACGTTACTCTAGTAGTAACTAGTAGTAGTAGTATGGCCAGTGTTAGTGACAGTGAACAGTGTTAGTGTCAGATAGTGACAGTGTTACTGTACTCTGTACTGACTACTGGGTACTGTAGTCTGTAGTCTGTGAGTCTGTAGGCCTAGGAGTAGTGTAAGTGTAAATTGATTCAATCGTAATATCATGCTTCAAGTACGGTTATGAACGCTTTGGTACAGGAAATTTATACCTTTATCATAGAACATAGTAGGCATGCTCTCAAATTCCTCAACTCTTTTGGAATACTTTCTAATGCCATTATTTACGATTTTTAGAATGAGTCCGAGTCGTACCACAACAATAGATATCACCAGCGCATTAAAATCACGGTGTGCTATATTACCACCAGGTGGCGCGACATTAAAAACTAGCGCATGGTTTTAGTGTTGCTATTTTATTTAGTTAATTATTAAATAAAAATATCAGTTGTTTCTGGTAGATGTAGTTATCACGTATATTCTGTCAACGCAACGTAGAATCAATTTTTTTTATTTAATTATTTTTATTTTACGTCAATACATCGTATGGCGTGGGTGGTTGTGGGCGGCTGAAAAATCATATGCTAATGTCTAGATTACCTCAGAACTGAGCAAGCGTGAAGCGGTATCGGGAAAACAGCCATGATGCGAAGGAAAGGATGAAAATTTCATGCGATATATGTGCATATTCGAGCACAATTTTGCTAGGTCGGGCTTCGGCATGGCAACACAGAAACCAGTGGAGTGGGTGCAAGCACTCATTACACGTTTTGAGGATCAGGTAATGGTTTGTATTGCCTGATGCGCGCGAGTGTTGGGATGTTTACGCAGGCGCCAGTATGTGAAGCAAATTGTCAACAACGATCACCACCCATTCTCGCGTACTTCAACTTGGTGGCATCAGCAGTGTTGTTAATACGCGACAGATTTATTGCAAATACTTGTTTGATTAACACGTTTTCGTATCGATGTATGCAAAGTTGAACTGTATACGTGTATGCGTTCTAACACAAATATTGACAAACTGAAACTCGGTGACACAAAATATTATTATTAATAATATTAATAATAATATTATTGCAGTGGCTACGCGTCCAGAACCTGCCGCGTAGCCTCCAGGCTACGCATCCGGACATCCACTCACACAGTGATCGCGCGACTCGCGTACACGCATGATTGCGCAACGGGACCACATGCACTTGGAGCGTTTCAATAAAATATAATGCTAAATAAATACGAAATATATTTACTACCAGTACCAAAGTCTTAATGTTTCTATACTCGCTTTCACCTATTATTGCCGACAATTTCCGCTCATCTGCAACAAATGCTGGCTGCCGCCATGGCTGCTGCTGCACACTGACACATAAATATATAGCAGGTAGGAAAAGGTGCTGCCAAAATTTGCTCGACGCTCGCTTGAATTTACATGAATACAACACAAATATTCAACCCTTCTACTCCATCTTTGTTTCTATTTGAAGAACAGTGTTCACTTGTTATAAAAACATACTGTCTGTGTTCGTAACCGAGCTGTGTCACGCAAAATCACACAAAGCCTGACGAAATTCTTGCGTTTGCTCCCGTTGCGCAGTTTATGTAAATGGCGGTCAGAAACAGGAAACACCCACTGGCACTCTTTGTGACTCTTTCCTACCTGCTATATATTTATGTGTCGGTGTGCAGCGGCAGCCATGGCGGGAGCCAGCGTTTGTTGCAGATAAGCATTTGGACGGCATTTACAGGAAATTGTTGGCAATAATAGGTGAAAGAGAGTATAGAAACATTAAGACTTTGGTAGTAATTAGATTTCGTATTTATGTAGCATTATATTTTATTGAAACGCTCCAAGTGCCTGTGAACGGGACGCACTGCAGATTGCCGAAAATATACAATATATGCACTGCTGCCGTCTATTCTTTCATCCGTCCTCTCTCGCTCTCTCTCTCTTTTTCACACACACACACGTGCAGAGCTCTCTCTCTATCTCTCTCTCCGACGGCGACGCACTGAGCGACGCACGTCACAGGGCACGCGACGCACGCACGCACCACGGCTGACACCCTCACCAGACGAAACTACCAGACACGCACGGCAACGCACGCACGCACGCAACGCACGCACGCAACGCTGACACCCACGACTACTAGCGCACGGCACGGCACGTACGCGACGCTACGCACGCACGCACGCACCACGCACGCAAGGACGCCACGCACGCACGCACGCACGCACGCTGACACCACGACGACTACGCACGCACGCTACGCACGCACGCGAACCGGCTGACACTCACGGACTAAATACGCACGCAGCGCACTGCACGCACGGTCAAGCACGCAACGGCGACGCAACGCACGCACGCACGCACGCACGGATACGCGAGTCGCGGGCTGGCAAGCCACGGCCAACGCACCGACGCACGCTGACACCACGACGACGAACTACGCACGCACGCCTACGCCACGCACGCACGGCACGCCCGCACGCACGCTGACACACCGACGACTAACTACGCAGCGCAGCGCGGGACGCAGGATTCGCACGCACGCACAGCACGCACGCACGCACGCAACGCTGACACCACGGACGAACTACGCAGCCTCGCACATCACGCGTAACGCAACGGCACGCGACAGCACGGCACGCGACGCACGCATTCTGACACCACGACTAACTACGGCACGCAGCCGCACGCAACAGCACGGCAACGCAGCGCACGCACGCACGCACGCCGGCACGCACCACGCACCACGCCGCACGCAGCAGCTGACACCCACGACGAACTAGCGTGACGCACGCACGCACGCAGCGGCGGACCGGTTCGGACACAGCACGCCACGCACGCAGCACGCTGGAACACCCACGACTAACTACGCACGCACAGCGAACGCAGCGGCGTGGACGCACGCACACACAAGCACGCACGCCCGGCACCACGCCCCGCACGCACGCACAACACGCTGACACCCACGCTAACTACGCACGCACGCACGCAACGCACGCAGAACGACGCACGCTACGCACGCACGCGACCTGACACCCACGACTAACTAGACGCACGCACGCACGCACGCACAGCACGCACCGCACCACGGCACGCACGCCGAGCACAGGCACGCTGACAGCACCACTGACGCTGACACCCAGCGACTAACATACGCACGCACGCACGCACGCCGCACGCACGCTGACGCTGACACTCCACGAACTAACTAGCGCACAGCCCACGCGACGCACGGCCCGCACACA